AAGTTTTGGTGTTTGTGCTTTCTTCGTTGTGTGTGGTCAGCTGTAAGTCTACTTTTGCCTTGGTGAGGTGCCACGGAGGGAGGTCGGGGAAAAGAATTTGTTGGATGTCTTGTTTGGAAAAGTGTAAGTTTTTGAGGTCCTCAAGGATTCTGAGGCCTAAGGGTTTGATGAGTTTTTCGTTGTTTTGGAATTTGTTTATGGTTTCTGGGTTTGTTTCGAAAATCCTGTTGTGCGCTGGATTTTCCGGTGTTGAGCTCTGTTTTACTGCGTATTGTAGTGAGAGTTGTGTGCGTCTGAGTGAGAGTGGTGGTATGTTTGCCTCGGCCTGGAGGCTCTCCACCGGAGAAGTGCGGAAAGCCCCTAGAGCGAGGCGGAGTCCTTGGTTCTGTATTGGGTCTAGCATTTTTAAGATGTGTGGTTTTGCCGATCCGTAGACTTGACAGCCGTAGTCAAGCCTGGACCGGACAAGGGAGATGTACAACTGGAGAAGGTGTTTTGAGTCCCCGCCCCACTCCGGATTCGATAGAATTTTCAAAGCGTTTAACGCTTTCTGGCACCTCACACGAAGGTCTTTGATGTGTGGAATGAATGTAAGTTTTTTGTCGAAAATGACGCCGAGGAAACGAGCTTGGTCCTGGACGGGAATCCTTTCCCTGTATAGTGTCAAATCCGGCTGCAGCACACGTCTGCCTGTTCGGCAGAAGTGTACTGCAACCGTCTTTGACGGGGAGAACTTGAAACCGTTATCGTTTGCCCACGTTTCAAGTTTGTGCAGCTGCGTTTGCAGCTGCCTTTCCATAGATCTCAAATGGGATTTTTCGAACGGCAGCATATCAAAAAGTCGTCAACGTATAACGAGCTGTCTATGCTGTTTTGGAGGGTATTCACTATGGAATTTATTTTAATTTCAAATAGGAGAGGAGAAAGGATGCTCCCCTGGGGGACTCCTTCCTCCTGTTGGTGGGGGTCTGAAAGGGAGGATCCGACACGAACCTGGAAGGAAAGGTTCTTCAGGAAATTGCCAATGAAGGCAGCGAGGTGACCGCATATGCCGAGTGCATGCAGGTCTCGAAGAATGCCGTACTTCCAGGTTTTGTCGAAGGCTTTTTCTAGGTCAAAAAAGATGGCGATCATGTGGCCTCTTTCAGCGAACGCCTTGCGTATAAAGGTCTCCAGACGGACCAGGTGATCCAGAGTGGATCGAGTTTTCCTGAATCCGCATTGGAGACTGCTCAGCGAGCCCGTCGTTTCCAGAAACCACATGAGTCGCCTGTGAATAATTTTTTCAATGAGTTTGCAGAGACAGTTCGTTAGGGCTATAGGTCTGTAATTGGATGGGTGTGTGTGGTCCTTGTTTGGTTTGGGTATTGGAATGACAGTGGCGAGACGCAAAGACTCCGGAAAGGAGTGCGACCGCCACATGTCGTTGTATATGTGTAGTAGGAGTGTGAGTGTTTCTGAGGGTAAGTGTCTAATTTCTTTACCTTGAAAAATTGAAAATGTGAGGACTTGGCTAACTCACCCTAGCAAAATCCAATTGCCCCTATCTGCCACCTTCCAATGATCTTGGATCATCTTCATCAGAGTCCTCTGAAGTGAGGTGAATGTGAAACATCCCATTTTCATTAGTACATTATGAATAATAATACCGCATAGGTACATATAATAGAACATGAATATCGAAACGTAAAAAAAACACAAACAAAAAAAAACAACCTAATGCTTATTTTTAGGTAAGTGTTTTACGGCGCTCGCAACTGCATAAGGTCATATGAGTGTGCGGGACACACGTAATATTTTCAGTTTGTAGGAAATCTTGAATTTTGTGCAGGAGGTGGCCGAAGCCTCCTCTTATCGATTTTAGACCACCAAGAGATCTTTAACGTGCGCTGCTTGCACACGGGCCCTCCGAGATTTTTCGCCCTTGCCCGAGAAGGCTAGGTGTAGATCTTTCCTGCCAGAAAATCAGGGGTGTGGCTGAAAGACAGCGGTAAGAAGGAGCCAAGGAGTAGCAGTGGAAAGGCTGCAGAAAGAGTCAGGAGCCCAGAGGAGGGGGCAAAGGAGGTGAGGGCGTGGAGGCAGAAAGAGGACATGAAAGCAGATGACAGAACATTGCTAGAGAGCAGGAAAGGAGGTGAAAGGAGACAATTTTAGAGAAGAAAAATTTTCGGTCGCTAACCGGATTCGAAACCCGGGACCTTTGAATGAGAGGCCAACACCTTAACCTCTAGGCCATGAGAGCCCCCACCTAATGCTTGGACTATAAACTTTTCTCCAAATTATTGTTGTTGTGCACTGATTTTCTTAGGGACAAATTTTTCCAAATTTACTTTTTGGAGACTGTGTGTAACACACAGTACGTCCCAGTCACACTCTATATGGCACGGGTGAAATACAAGTACAATAAAATACAAACTTCCAACTCTAGTTTAGTATGGGGTTTTACGGCGCTCGCAACTGCATAATGTCATATGAGCGCGCGAAACACAAGTTATTTTTGTTCGCAACAGTTTACTGTACGGCTGGCTCGGGTCAGTAGTTAGATCTTAAAATGTTTAAATGTTTAAAAATCAGTGTAAATATATATTTTCAATCTAAAACAATTTTCCTAGATAACATGGTTCTGATACACTATCAAATCACAGTGACAATGCAGCGTCATCGAGATTAACTTAAACACCTAAAAACACTTGCCCTGACTAGCACTCAAACAACATATGCCATTCATAAACATCATCATACACAGACTAAAGTTTTAGGAAAACTAAAACCCCTCCTTATCTTCCTTTAGGACAATCAAATGAGAAGTGAGTTAACTAGGATGTCAAACTGTAGGGGCTAAGTTTTTCTATTTCTTTTGCCTCATGTTGGCCGAGTTCTTAGGAGGAGCAGGGCTCCCAACTTTGCACAGTAATATATTACACATGAAACCTGCAGATTACCCCCCCATTAAGCTTTGCTGGTGCGTGAACCTTACTCCTTAAAATTTCGTTTTGGGGGGCTTGCATGCTTTAAAACGTAGGTGGTGTGCGTCTGGCGAGCATCATTTTCAACCTTCTCTATCCCAAAGCCGAGTCAATAATTTGACAAAACACCTACACATACACGGCAGTCATCTTTTGTCTGTGACAGAAGCTGTCGACCTACTTATCAGCTGCGCGCAGTTTCCGGCGACCCTGGCTTGTTTCAGCAGAGACGCTACGCCCACATTCTTGTCGTTCGCATTTGCCGGTGTCGTACCTTGAGTTAACCCCTACCGAGAGATTACCCCCATCTTCTTTAACACTAGTAAACATGAATTGTCTGCCTTTTTTTTTTTTAATTAACAATATCAAATAAATTCAAAATTAACAGAAAGAGACGTAAAACTGACCCTAACCTTGCCTAATTTAGTCTTATACGAGTAGAAGGATGAGATTTTATTTATGATTGGCCCAACCACCACCATCTCTCCCCCCCCCCCCCCCCCCCCCCTAAAAGTGGACACAACTCTAGATATTCTAGTCAATATTAGGCCTACTCATTTATTTCTTGTTGTTTCAATGAAACATTAAAGTTAATTAAAAATCGTTAGCATTCAATCATAGTCATGGTCACTCTGTGTGCGTCTGTGTGAATGTGTGAGTAATGTGTGAGTGAGTTAAATGTTTACAGTTACAGGCAAAAATTCCTACAACGAAATTACAAGATAATTGACTTTTGAGGATTAGTGTGTCAGACATGAACAAAAAAACCCAATAAATACCCCATAAGACAGAAAACCAAAGAGTGAAGGAATGTCTTAAGTTGGCCTGAAAAGAGGAGCCCTGGAGGAAACCACTGCACTATAGTGAGTACATGTTGGTCCTAAAATTACCTGAAACAGTGAGATCCGAAATACTGAGGACCTCATCACTTTCCTCTGTTTCTTTCTCCTCCTCATCCGTAGAAAAGTCTTCCTCCGTGAGGCTGGCTTCCATCCTCTGGACTATGGCTGATTTTTCTTCTCTCTTAAGCTGGTGACGAAAGGCGGAGTTTCTGCAGGGCTATCAAAGCCTCCAGCACCTGGACCTGCAAACGAACCAACACATTAGTCAGCATTCATTGCCTTTTTATAGAAAAACAGGGTGACTGTCAAATCCACTTCTCATTTTTCCAGGGGCCCATCCCTTTTTCAGGGGCACAAACACACACACACACACATATATATATATATATATTGTACTGTCTAGTCCATTTATAAGTCTTTGTTATTACAGGAACTTGGATATATAACAGTGATAATCCAAATTCCTGTTTTTTTCCCTCTTTTAATGTAAGTAATATGAGCCCGGCTATAACAGGGTTCAATCTGCAAAGACTCAAATATACAGGGTCCCCACCAAATCCCGGAAAATTTTTTCAAGACCCCAAATTTTTTTCAAGACCCCTATTCGAGGGAAAAATCAGGCCGCTGCGCTTCAAGAATGATCCCAAAAAAAGCCAATCTATCAAAGATAAATAGTCAAAATGTCTATAAATGAATGCAAATGTACATTTTGTAGTATAGTCTTCAAATAGATGACTATAATACTGGGTGACTGCCAACCCAGATTCTCAATTTTCCAAGGGAGGGGCCTCATCCATTTTCAAGGAACACGTTACATAACAATGAAAGCGTGTGCTCCATTTATATAACATTATATCCAGTCAACAACATGTCAGTGTGGCACTGGGATCTTGAGAGACTTTGGTATTTCAATTTGTTCTTATCTATATTTTCCCCTCATCATCCAACATAACAAACTATAGGCCCCATATAAAAAAATGAATCCTGTTTTGAGCCTGAGAAAAGACCTAGATCTAGAACTAGAATCTATCGACTGTCATGTATAGTATAAGGTTTTACGGCGCTCGCAACTGAAGACGAAAACTATTGCTCAAATTCAAAGTAGAGTAATATTAGTAATAACTAGATCTAGAATGGCTCAAGTACACCTATTCAGTGTGAGAGGTGTAAGAACTGAGGGACGGCAAGATGCAGTGACACTGAAAATCTGCCAATCTTGAACAGAAAGCTAAAATATAGATATAAAGTACAATCCCCCCCATCCAATGAAACGCGAACACTTTAGTTCAATAACAAGGCATGACAGATCCCGATTCCACACAAGGCCTGCACCAACGCGTGCTTTTTCACAGGGTACCTGCCATGAACTTCCCATCAAATTCAAGGAGGTTTCAAGGAGAAATTTTTAAAATTCAAGGAGATTCGGTCAAAAAATTCAAGACGAAAGCCTATTTTCGAAGGCCTACACTTGTCCGAACGCAACCATGTCATAGTTTCGATTTTTTCAATGAGTTTGCAGAGACAACTCGTTAGTGCTATTGGTCTGTAATTGGATGGGTGTGTGTGGTCCTTGTTTGGTTTGGGTATTGGAATGACAGTGGCGAGACGCAAAGACTCCGGAAAGGAGTGCGACCGCCACATGTCGTTGTATATGTGTAGTAGGAGTGTGAGTGTTTCTGAGGGTAAGTGTCTAATTTCTTTACCTTGAAAAATTGAACATGTGAGGACTTGGCTAACTCACCCTAGCAAAATCCAATTGCCCCTATCTGCCACCTTCCAACGATCTTGGATCATCTTCATCAGAGTCCTCTGAAGTGAGGTGAATGTGAAACATCCCATTTTCATTAGTACATTATGAATAATAATACCGCATAGGTACATATAATAGAACATGAATATCGAAACGTAAAAAAAACACAAACAAAAAAAAACAACCTAATGCTTATTTTTAGGTAAGTGTTTTACGGCGCTCGCAACTGCATAAGGTCATATGAGTGTGCGGGACACACGTAATATTTTCAGTTTGTAGGAAATCTTGAATTTTGTGCAGGAGGTGGCCGAAGCCTCCTCTTATCGATTTTAGACCACCAAGAGATCTTTAACGTGCGCTGCTTGCACACGGGCCCTCCGAGATTTTTCGCCCTTGCCCGAGAAGGCTAGGTGTAGATCTTTCCTGCCAGAAAATCAGGGGTGTGGCTGAAAGACAGCGGTAAGAAGGAGCCAAGGAGTAGCAGTGGAAAGGCTGCAGAAAGAGTCAGGAGCCCAGAGGAGGGGGCAAAGGAGGTGAGGGCGTGGAGGCAGAAAGAGGACATGAAAGCAGATGACAGAACATTGCTAGAGAGCAGGAAAGGAGGTGAAAGGAGACAATTTTAGAGAAGAAAAATTTTCGGCCGCTAACCGGATTCGAAACCCGGGACCTTTGAATGAGAGGCCAACACCTTAACCTCTAGGCCATGAGAGCCCCCACCTAATGCTTGGACTATAAACTTTTCTCCAAATTATTGTTGTTGTGCACTGATTTTCTTAGGGACAAATTTTTCCAAATTTACTTTTTGGAGACTGTGTGTAACACACAGTACGTCCCAGTCACACTCTATATGGCACGGGTGAAATACAAGTACAATAAAATACAAACTTCCAACTCTAGTTTAGTATGGGGTTTTACGGCGCTCGCAACTGCATAATGTCATATGAGCGCGCGAAACACAAGTTATTTTTGTTCGCAACAGTTTACTGTACGGCTGGCTCGGGTCAGTAGTTAGATCTTAAAATGTTTAAATGTTTAAAAATCAGTGTAAATATATATTTTCAATCTAAAACAATTTTCCTAGATAACATGGTTCTGATACACTATCAAATCACAGTGACAATGCAGCGTCATCGAGATTAACTTAAACACCTAAAAACACTTGCCCTGACTAGCACTCAAACAACATATGCCATTCATAAACATCATCATACACAGACTAAAGTTTTAGGAAAACTAAAACCCCTCCTTATCTTCCTTTAGGACAATCAAATGAGAAGTGAGTTAACTAGGATGTCAAACTGTAGGGGCTAAGTTTTTCTATTTCTTTTGCCTCATGTTGGCCGAGTTCTTAGGAGGAGCAGGGCTCCCAACTTTGCACAGTAATATATTACACATGAAACCTGCAGATTACCCCCCCATTAAGCTTTGCTGGTGCGTGAACCTTACTCCTTAAAATTTCGTTTTGGGGGGCTTGCATGCTTTAAAACGTAGGTGGTGTGCGTCTGGCGAGCATCATTTTCAACCTTCTCTATCCCAAAGCCGAGTCAATAATTTGACAAAACACCTACACATACACGGCAGTCATCTTTTGTCTGTGACAGAAGCTGTCGACCTACTTATCAGCTGCGCGCAGTTTCCGGCGACCCTGGCTTGTTTCAGCAGAGACGCTACGCCCACATTCTTGTCGTTCGCATTTGCCGGTGTCGTACCTTGAGTTAACCCCTACCGAGAGATTACCCCCATCTTCTTTAACACTAGTAAACATGAATTGTCTGCCTTTTTTTTTTTTAATTAACAATATCAAATAAATTCAAAATTAACAGAAAGAGACGTAAAACTGACCCTAACCTTGCCTAATTTAGTCTTATACGAGTAGAAGGATGAGATTTTATTTATGATTGGCCCAACCACCACCATCCCCCCCCCAAAAAAAGTGGACACAACTCTAGATATTCTAGTCAATATTAGGCCTACTCATTTATTTCTTGTTGTTTCAATGAAACATTAAAGTTAATTAAAAATCGTTAGCATTCAATCATAGTCATGGTCACTCTGTGTGCGTCTGTGTGAATGTGTGAGTAATGTGTGAGTGAGTTAAATGTTTACAGTTACAGGCAAAAATTCCTACAACGAAATTACAAGATAATTGACTTTTGAGGATTAGTGTGTCAGACATGAACAAAAAAACCCAATAAATACCCCATAAGACAGAAAACCAAAGAGTGAAGGAATGTCTTAAGTTGGCCTGAAAAGAGGAGCCCTGGAGGAAACCACTGCACTATAGTGAGTACATGTTGGTCCTAAAATTACCTGAAACAGTGAGATCCGAAATACTGAGGACCTCATCACTTTCCTCTGTTTCTTTCTCCTCCTCATCCGTAGAAAAGTCTTCCTCCGTGAGGCTGGCTTCCATCCTCTGGACTATGGCTGATTTTTCTTCTCTCTTAAGCTGGTGACGAAAGGCGGAGTTTCTGCAGGGCTATCAAAGCCTCCAGCACCTGGACCTGCAAACGAACCAACACATTAGTCAGCATTCATTGCCTTTTTATAGAAAAACAGGGTGACTGTCAAATCCACTTCTCATTTTTCCAGGGGCCCATCCCTTTTTCAGGGGCACAAACACACACACACACACACATATATATATATATATATATATATTGTACTGTCTAGTCCATTTATAAGTCTTTGTTATTACAGGAACTTGGATATATAACAGTGATAATCCAAATTCCTGTTTTTTTCCCTCTTTTAATGTAAGTAATATGAGCCCGGCTATAACAGGGTTCAATCTGCAAAGACTCAAATATACAGGGTCCCCACCAAATCCCGGAAAATTTTTTCAAGACCCCAAATTTTTTTCAAGACTCCTATTCGAGGGAAAAATCAGGCCGCTGCGCTTCAAGAATGATCCCAAAAAAAGCCAATCTATCAAAGATAAATAGTCAAAATGTCTATAAATGAATGCAAATGTACATTTTGTAGTATAGTCTTCAAATAGATGACTATAATACTGGGTGACTGCCAACCCAGATTCTCAATTTTCCAAGGGAGGGGCCTCATCCATTTTCAAGGAACACGTTACATAACAATGAAAGCGTGTGCTCCATTTATATAACATTATATCCAGTCAACAACATGTCAGTGTGGCACTGGGATTTTTCAATTTGTTCTTATCTATATTTTCCCCTCATCATCCAACATAACAAACTATAGGCCCCATATGTGTGTGTGTGTGCGTGCTTGTGTTCGTCTAAAAAGAAAAAGAAAATGCTAATTTCAATTATGAAAAAAAAAAGTAAATTGAATACAGCATTATTGTACTACTTACAGGGACAGGGGGGAAAGCAGACTTTTAAGCATGATTATTTTAGTCTACTAAACCTTATATCTGTTTTATAAAACCAAGGAAAGGAATTCTGAATGTTTAAAGATGTAAAAACAGAATACATTTTTTTAAAGTGATTTAAATCACTGAGTTTTATCTTTAAAATCAAGTTGATTTAAATTTTTTTAAATTAACTGATTTAAATCGACCCAACCCTGGTTTTCAATTATGGAAAAAAAGTAAATTGAGTACCTTATTATTTTACAGTGACAGGGGGGAAAGCAGACTTTTAAGCATGATTATATTAGTCTACTAAACCTTATATCTGTTTAATAAAACCAACTAACGGAATTCTGAATGTTTAAATATATGTAAAAACTGAATACATTTTTTTGGAAAGTGATTTAAATCACTGATTTTTATTTTTAAAAATCAAGATTAAAATAAAAAAATCAACTGATTTAAATCAACCCAGCTCTGATTTCAATTATAATGGAAAAAAAGGAAATTGAATACTGCATTATTTTACAGTGAAAGGGGGGAAAGCAGACTTTTAAGCATGATTATATTAGTCTACTAAACCTTATATCTGTTTTATGAAACCAAGGAAAGGAATTCTGAATGTTGAAATGTGTAAAAACTGAATAAAAATTTTAAAGATTTTTAAGTGATTTAAATCACTGATTTTTATCCAAAAAATCAAGTTTATTTAAATTTAAAAAATCAACTGATTTAAATCAACCTGATTTAAATCAACCCAACCTTGCTCCTCCCGTCAGGCTGATGAGTTCTTTGACGTCTCACCTTCAGCCAGCCAATCAGGAGTGGACTTGTTAGCTCAGGAAACACTTGGTTTTCAGAGGGAGTCCTCGGCACTTCCACAGGACACTGCTGTGGAGAGAGGGATCCTGTTGGGAGACCTGAGCTGATAGTTACGGTAGAGGTGAAGGATAAGACACTGCTCATTCCCCTACAGGCTTCAGACTGTGGTAAGAGCATCTCATGGCTGGCTGGTGAAGTGGCTGAACGTTACTGCAGCCTGTATCAGCAACGCCCAGTCCTAACTCTCAGTACCACTCGCTATTATATTCTCTGCCCTGTAGATCCCATATCTGCAGTGGTGGCTAACCATGACCACCTCAAGGCAACGGTCACTCTTTGGGAGAACCCGCCCCTGGAAGAACGTTACATTAATGCGTGTCAGTTTATGGCTCCATGACTGTGTGACCAGTGGTCATCTCTCCCCTGTGACTTTGTTCTTAGCCAACAACAGTTGCTGCCAGTGTACCGCGCTTTACGAGGGCAAAGAACTCTGACCAACCTAAATCTGGCTGGGAATTGTCTCGGAGACACAAATCTTGTTCCCCTCGCTGAACTCCTCCAAGACATGCCCAACCTCAGATCATTAAACCTGGAGACAAATCATCTTTCATCGGAAAGTTTGCATACTCTCTCCAAAGCATTTAAGAGCGGCCAGCATAGTCTTGAACAGCTCAACCTGAGCCACAACTGTCTGGGAGACTTGGCGGCCAAGTGGCTGGCCAACATGCTGAGGAATCTGACCTGTCTGACTGACCTCAGCGTGGCTGACTGCGCTCTCTCTGCCAGAGTTTTTACTCCCAGCTTCTGCTATGCCCTGAGAGGTACTATTAGTACAAGTCTTAACATTTAGAGAAAGTTGTTTCATGTTTGTAAAAGCTTTTTGTGATTTGATGTGATAATGATGGTTGCTCACTGACCAACTCAGATTCTCTGAGACACACTTTCTGAAAGGGATTTTTGTGGATTTGAAATCTTTTTCACTGTTACTAGCTTCAGAGTGGTTGTAGTTTAGAAGTCAGTACGAATGAATGTTGTCTACAATAAGCTAAACAGTGGGGCCCTTTCAAGTCGTGGCTTGGCTATCAAAATGGAAACCTCAAATATTTTTAAAACAAATCTTTGCTTGCTATATTTACCAGTATCCAAAGATGTCAAAAGGTTAGGCTCAAGCTCAATCTCTCTTGCCCTTTTTAACTCCCAGTGGAGCACAGGCCATCAACAACATTACTCCAGCGAAGCCTGTCCTGAGCATCCTTTTCGATCTGTTTCCATGATGTCCCCGCTTTTTCAATTTCCGCTGATACCGCTCGCCTCCATGTCATCTTAGGTCTTCCCTTCTTACGCTTTCCTTGTGGGTTCCATGTTAAGGCCAGCCTGATGATGCTTGTCCGGGGTCTCCTCAGGGTGTGTCCAATCCATTTCCATTTCTTCACCTGAATATCTTCCTTTACTGGCCTTTGGCTTGTTCTCTCCCACAGTTGAGCTCAATAAAAACTGATATATACAGTGGAACCTGTGTAAGACGGCCACCCATTGTCAAGGAAAAAAGTGGCTGTATAAGACAGTTGGCCATCTTAGGCAAGATTGATCAAAATGAAGAAAACAAACCATTCCCTTCTGAAGTCCCAACCGAAGGCAGCCGCATTGTTGTTGTTTTTGTTAGCTTCTTTAAATTTTGTTGCTGAATTTGTGCAAGGGTGACAATAATACGAAATGTGTCAGAGGAGGAAGACCCAGTGCCATGTTAAAACAAACACATGGGTGGCCACCACTCGGAGAACGAGCGACGCTTCTGTCCCAAGTTCATGTTGACATCCATTATTGTTACTTTGTTACGGACTAGGTAAACAGTGACCACTCATCTCACTTACGATTTGTGTGTGAGTTGTGGTCGGGGCTTATGGGTTATGAGGGATCACATACTTACGTCACCAGCAGCTGGAAATTTATTGTTAGCTTTTGGTCAACAGTGGGAGGGGTCTTCGCAAGATAATAGGTTGGAGAGACTACCTAACAACAACGACAGGTGATTGGAATATGACGGCTCGACCATTACGTCAGGGGCCAATGCTTAAGTTATGACAAAACGTCGGGTGATGAGAAAGGTGGCCGTCTTAGACAGGTGTTATTGTTTAGTATGAAGGGGTTGTGGGATAAAATATGGTGGCCGCGTTGGACTGGTGACCATTTTACACTGTGACAGTATATAGAAAAATCGCAAGGGGATGAAAAGTGGCTAAAGTTGCTGTCCAAATGACCTTTAAAAAAAAAAAAATCATGTTTGGTTTTTGCCCTGTTTTTAAGCGGAGTCAGAGGGTACAATGTTGATGATGCTGTTCAGTTGTTGTGTCTCAAGTTATTCCTTGTCATATAGACGGTTGGTTTTTTCTCACATATTTTTGGCTTTCAATATTTCTTTTGTTTGTTGACTATTGACCCTGGCATTTGGATGTGTTATGTGGGTGGTTGGCAGGTGCTCTGGAGTGGTTTGCTTCTTCTTTCCTATCAAACATCTATCGTCTTTATCTCCCCTCCTTTTTTGTGTTTGTCTCTCTCTTGTCACACCTCTAATCTTCGGCACTTATTGATCTTATTGTGTTGCAAGTGCCGTAAAACACTTACTAAAACTAAAAGGATGTGTTATGGCTGCAGCAGACTGAGCTATTGCTCTCTAAAATGAGCCATGCAGGATGTCATGTCAAGGGCTTCAAATTTTATAACTTGGAGGCCTGTAGGCTTTATAGCATAGAAATGCAGAAGTCAGTCAGAGGGAGAGTGTTTGTCGTTGATCTCAGCAGAAGGGATGAAGCTTTCTTTGCCAGGTCGTCTACCTGCTTGTTTCCTCGGATGCCCACATGGCTGGGTATCCATGCGAACATGATGTTTTTTCATGTTTCGGATAGTGTATGACTTTTCTGTTGTAGCCTAATTATTTTTGGATTTAAGAGTGTGTAGTTTGTGAGTGAGGTGATGCAAGACAGAGAGTCAGAAATGATAAGGAAAGATTTGTTAGGAGAATTTTCTACAGAGTCCAGTGCCATGTCAATGGCAGTGGCCTCCGCAGAGAAAATGGAGGCTTCAGGATGGAGTCTCCTCTGGTGTGTACTGTTGGAAGAAAGGGCTGCGGCGCCCACTTCATTGTCTTTTTTGGAGCCATCCGTGAAGATGAGCTCCGCACCGGGGTATTTATCTATTAGTTTTTTTGTATTCTGCTTTAAAAGTTTTGGTGTTTGTGCTTTCTTTGTTGTGCGTGGTCAGCTGTAAGTCTACTTTTGCCTTGGTGAGTTGCCACGGAGGGAGGTCGTGGAAAAGAAATTATTGGATGTCTTGTTTGGAAAAGTGTAAGTTTTTGAGGTCCTCAAGGATTCTGAGGCCGATGGGTTTAATGAGTTTTTCGTTATTTTGGAATTTGTTTATGGTTTCTGGGTTTGTTTTAAAAATGCTGTTGTGCGCTGGATTTTCCAG